GTGCTTTTTTTTTTTCTTTCTTTCTTTCTTTTTTTTTTTTTTTTTTAGAGGTTTTCACTATAGGGCGCGTGCGCTCGCCAGACAGAGAGAGACATAGAGACAGAAAGCGAGAAATCACCCCCCAGGGGGGATGGCCACGCTGCAATCCCTTCTCCTCCATTCTCCATCTTGGGCACGCACGTACATGCGCCCGGCGTGAGTTTTAAGCCACCAGGTCTAGGACACGAACCGTGGTTGACTACGTGGGAGTCCAGCCACATAGCCATTACGCTAACTGCTGGTTCCCTGTACTTATTTCTAAAAATCTTGTTTCTAGGTGTGATCTAGAAATTGATTTCTGAGAACAGGGATGCAGAATAGAATTTCTAGTATTTTCCTTCCAGCAAACTGATAATGCATAAATGATACATGAGTCATCTGTAATGAGTGGGAGAAAAAGGCCCCAGAAATAAAACGCTGGGAGTCTCGGCTTTGGCCTGTAAGTTAAGGGGTACGGGAATGCCCCCTCAAACTCTGGGTGGTGTTTTTTGTTTTAGGGTTTTGTCTTTTTTCTCTGTTTTCGAGAGAAAGCAGGCTTATTAAGGCCAGTATGGAGAGGACTACTGCAGAGGTGAAGCAGCCCGGTGAGAGGAGCTGGGTGGACAGCTTCACTCCTCCCTCTGAGAAAAGGAAAGCACTGTTATGGAAAAGGACAGACAGGAGGGCCAGCCCGCAGGGGAGCAGCCTGTCTAGGCGATTTTAACGTGGCCATAACCCTACACGTGGAAGGACACACCCCTTCCCTATAAATCACTCACTGCCTTATTAGAGAGATTTAAAAAACATCAACGTGTGAATAAACTAACCTCTCCTCCCGCTGCCTGGCTTTCCCCCTCACACACGTTCAGTGACGCCTTGTAGAGGCCCCGCGTCCTCTTTCCGACATAAACACGTGTTACCTGCAGTAAGCAGATCGTAGGGACTGCGACCGAGGAGTCGCGGGGACGCCGCTTCCATCGAAGGCCCATGATAGAGAATAGCTCAGTTTTCCCGACGTCAAAAGACAGAGTTCCTCGGTTCCATCCTCCTCGAGAAGAAAAGGCACATCTGTGCGGGGGAGGCCGAGAACCGAGAGCTGTGCGGCGGCGGAAGCACGGGGGAGATCTTTCCTGACCCCTACTGGGAACCCTCGGGACACACTGAGCCCCTGGCCGACCCCAGGCGCTCAGCCCACCCCCAGTCCTCTCTCAGGGACCTCAGGGAAGATGCTCCACACAGACCATAGAAGAGAAGGGAGCGCTGAGCTGAGCACGTGGAGATGCGTCTCCACCCTCCCCTTCTCACAGGGCAAGTGTCTTACCCATTCTTTCTGGGAGCGGCTTCCAGAAAGAAAGAGCTGATGGCGGCAGAAGAGGCAGACCCAGTGCTCTGTCTCCCCTT